CTTTTTTTTAAAGGAAGTCATTCAGTCTCTAATAATCATTAGCTCAAAGTAAATACAGGTCCAGTGTTGCCATATCTGATTTTTCAAGACAAGATGAAAATTTAAATTTTTAGGTGAAATCAGATTTTTAAATGTTAGCAATAAATTAAAAGTTCAAAAATGCACTATGGATCAAAAAAGACATATGTGCAGATCACATAGGGCCTGTAGGCTGCCAGCTTATAAGCTCAGAGAGCGGAGGAGTTCTGGCAAGGCTCCCTCTCCCCAGATAGTTTCACCCATGACACTGACTGGAATTCTTTTTGATCATAGCAGATAAGACATTCTCTCCTCTTCCTCTCCCCAATAAGACTTCCTGTTAAAATGCAAAATAGTTCCAGGAGTACTTGGTTTTTCAGTCATTAAAAAATAATCAACCATTAATACCTTAGCTGAAATTGAATTAAGTCTTTAGAAACTTAAAGTTGCAGAGGAGGCCCAAAGGAGGTTTTTCCAAATAGCATCTGGTTATAGATGTCAATTTTGCCACCGCTCACATAAATCTATGGGTGAAGAGCTCAGACCATCCACTCCACTGTAAAAGTTGCACGTGTTAAGCCAAAACTTGTCTCCCTGAATTCCTCCCTAGCCCCTCCACGGTGGTCTCCTGAAGCTATGCAGAATAGACCTAATAATTCCTTTCTGCGTGGGAATCCTCCAGATATCTGAAAGATGCTCTTGTGAGCATCTCAATTCTTTGTCTAAATCTCTGTGGTTACTTCAGTCTTTCCTCATTCCACAAGCATCTCATTATTGCTCCCACGGCTCTTTGAGCAGGCCTCTGCTATAGTGCTTAACGCATGGTTTTGTAATTTATTTGAACATATGACTACTTCCCAGAGCAGACTGTGAGTTTCATGGGGGTTTGGGAGCAATCACTATGATTTTTGTACTCATGTCTTCACATTTCTTGGTACTTAGTAGACACTCATTAAGAACGGAAGGAAAGAAAGAAGAGAGGAAGAAAGGAAAGGGAAAAAAAGTAAGAAGGATATGAAAGAAAGGAAGGAAGGAAGAAAGAAGGGGAAAGAAGAAAGAAAAAGAATATGAATGGATTATTAATATGGTTTCCAAATACATCACCTCTTCTCCTACAAACTTACCTTTGTCAATGACTTTCTTAAAAATGTGGGACTTGGAACCATGGCCTGAACATAGAACAGTAGGACTATTAACTCTCTTGACCTGGACCCTTGATGACTATTGATGCACCCTAAGATTACATCAGCTTTTTTTTTTTGGTATGTGAAACTGGCTATTTGAACCCAAGTTCAACACTTTATATTTATACCATTAAGTTTCACCTTGTTATGTGCAGTCCTATATATAAAGACCTGTGTTGGATTTGGGGTTTTTTGTCCACCCAGTGCCTCTCTCAAAGCTTGGTTTGCTGTCAGACCACTGCAGGTGTTGCGTTGGCAGTAAGAGCCAGCTGAGATCATTGTCTTGGGGGAACACAATCACCAGTCTAGACGGGTGGACAGGCCTGAGTGGGGTTTTGGCAGGGGCTGCTCTGCAGGCCAAGGAAGGGAAATAATTCACACAGAGTGAGGAGAGAGGGCTGAGAGGAAAGGTTTTTCTTGAAAGCAAATTCTACCTTCTTCACAGATATGTTACTTCTTTCTTTACTTTCTCCCCCAACACATACTGAGTTCATCATTTTGCAGATACCCTGAACTCTGTCAATGTCTTCCCCAATTTCTTTCAGTGTAGAAACACACAGGCATGCTTTTCTCATCTACATATGATGTTATTAGCTTCATGATTTTAACACTAATGTTAAACTTTTAGTCCTCACTAAAATGATGCTGATGATAATAATGCCACCTTGTTTTGTATAACAGTTTATGTTTTTCAAAGTATTTTCATGTAAGTACCTGGAAATCCCCTGGATCCTTGAAGTAGCTTAATAAAAATCAGAGAGGGGGCATAACTAACTCTATCCGACAGGTGTTCCTAGCCAAGGACAATGACAAGGGCTCCAGTGCTTCCTAAAAGCCATGCTTCCCCCAGAGAATGGTCAATAATAGACGTCCAAGGAAATACATGAAAGAACTTTTGATATAAGGATGTCTCTTGCAAGTTTCGTTCTCATCTTAGTAATGTTATTCTGTAATCAGCATGTTTTAACCCTTCTCTTTCTAATTCAAGTGAGGTGGGAGCTTGTTTCTTTCAAAACCTAGGACTAGCTCCCATCATTGTGTCTTGTATTAATTTTTTATTTATAGGAAATAAAAAAAAGTAGAATTGGATAGCTTACTCTGATATAGAAAACTGTTTATCTTTAAAATATGCAATATTGCACATAAGCCAGAGGTTTTAAAAATATCTAAAGATAGACCCCTTAGATTGGATTTACTACAGATTTGTCTATTTTATCGGTTCTTCCGAAGAAACAGCCCTTGGAATAATTTATCAGTTGAATTGCTTTAATTTGTTTAAATTTATTAATGCATTTTTATCTTTTTTTCTTGTATTTTCCTTAGCTTTTAAAAATTGTTTTACTGAATTCTTTACTTACTTTTTTTTTCATTTAATAAGAAACATATCAAAGCCTATGAATTTGCTAGGATCAAATCCTGTGGACATGATTTGGTATTTTTGGCATATTTGTTAAGTTTACATATGAGGGGTCTTCAAAGAGTTCATGGAATCGTATGTGGTGTTTTTATTGTGTGGAACACCTTAATGGTATGTAAGGGAGATTTTGGCATTCTCTTTGAGTCTAGAATTATTTAGGAAGGCATTTTGCTACTGTCCAAGTGATTGAGATTTTTATTTTGGTCTTGTTCTATCTTTGGCCATTAATTTCTAATTTTGCTTCTTTTTTTTTTTTAAATTTTGCTGGCTGATATAGGGATGGAGCTCTGAATCTTGGTGCACCATGCTGTAACCAACTGAGCTAACCAGCCAGCTAATTTTGCTTTATTTTAATTAGATAGTTCAAAGGTATGATATTAACTTCTTACGGTTACTTGAAAGAGGTTAATAAGGGTCCAACAGGCAGAAATCAGTGGCACTGGTTTTTGAAGGAATACATGGCTCAAGGCATTCGGTCAACATTTATTGAGCACCTATTAAATGGCAAGTACTCTGCTCGGCAGCGGAAAGTGAAGAGAAATAAGGTTCCTTCTCTGTCCTCAGGAAGCCTACAGGAAGGGAATTGATTTTGCTAGTGAGTTAATGGAAACTGTGTTCATTGCCTGTAGACTTTCTGATTCATTACAAGGTTGCAACACAACCAGTAAAATTGCTCAACTAAAAGCCCGGGTTTTCTTTGTGAATGGGATAATTGCACAATTAAGGGACTGCCTTGTTTTTTAATTGTTTTAAAATTAGAGAACTGTGAAAAATGTATTAGACTTACACACACAATACGCATGACGTAATGAAGGTAAATCTCCCACCCATGTACTCTACTTGAGGTGCACAAGAGCCCAGAGGTGGACTTAACCTTGAAGCTGAGGAAGCCTAATGGAGACGTCTCCCTGCACAGACCCCTTACAAGGCCTGGCACTGCGTTCATGTGGCCAAATGTTTTCATCAAATTTGCAAGGTTAGATTTTAAAATTGTTTTTCTTAAAGAGATTCTCCTGGATTTATCTGTGTTGCTACGACATTAACCCCTGCCATCTGTGTTACCAGGTAGCATTTATTTAAAGGTCAGTAGGTAATCTGTTTTGAATGCTTTTCTTTGGGAAATTAATGCATATCTTTGAATGGTAGTCACCAAATACTTTGCTAACAACTTTACATACGTATGAATGTATTTATGTTTGTACATATGTATTTATGTATGTATGTAATTAATTACCAAGTACTAACAATTTTATATGTTTACATATGTACTTAACATTTTGTGGTTGACACAGATTATTCAGTGCATCTAACTCCTTGAAAGTCAGCTCCTCTAGAACAAATCCAAGAAACTGGAATGAAATTCTCAAGGAATTCCCTCATTTATACTAATAAAATTTGCCATAACTTTTGAAATGTATAGTGTTTGAAAAGGCTTGGAAGTTCTTTCTTCAATGCTACTATCTTCTCAGGGTGGCGTAACATATTTTAAATTAAAACTTGGCATTTGGTATTTTGAAAGGCTGGAAAGGTGATATCAACAGTGAACTCTGTACAGTGAAAGATGCAAGTTCCTGGAGGACAGGGACTTACGCAGAGTTTATCCTTCTTGTATCTCCAGCACTTAGCACAGTGCTTAGCATGCAGTAGGTGCTTAACAATACTTTGTAAATGAATGAAAGAGGAGAGAAGGGAAACCTGTCAAAAATTATGTGAGAAGAGCAAGAATGGTTGAAGTTTTAGACAATCCATTATAATACGAAACAAGAGCAAGACCCCGATTGTCATCAGTTAGAGAAAACAGTGTGATTCAAAAAAGGCTGATTTTTGCATAAGTAGAGACTCCTGTATTAATAACAAAATTATAATGGCCCTTTCACTAGGACAACTGGAGTTGTCCACCACCATTCTGTGAGGACTAGTAGTAGGTTGAACAATTAAGATAAATATATTAATTATATAGAAAGGTCAGCACCAGCCAAATACTTAAATGTATCAACATTTCAGGGGTGGCCTATGATCACTGTGATCGTCTGGCATCTGCAGGGCTGTTGTGAGGATGAACACTTCTATCCAGTATGGGGTGCTGGTGGTGATTCAGTACTCAGTATTGTTGTGGGAATGCAGTATTGCCACAATTCCCTTGCAATGAAGTCTCATTGAAGGAGAGAATTTGGACAGACTTTTTCAAACTTTCAAACTGACATGTTGTTTCTTTTCTTTTTCCTTAGAAGCAAATTTAGTTAGCAATTTCTACTTCTCTTTTCACTCTCCCCCTTCCTGCCCCTCTCCCCACCCCTCCACCAATAAAGGAAATATGTGATTCTAACTCAAAATATAATGAATTGTATGAGAGTGATTATTAGCCTTTAGTTTCAATTTACCTCCTGCACATATGGTGGATGGTTCAGCTGCTAAAATTTCAATGCAGGACTTCTTCAAAATCTAGGAGGAGAGGAAATAAAAAGTCAATGCACAGCTTATTTTGTGAAAAGACAGAATTAGAGGTTTGCTTTTAGCTAATGAGATAGAGAACAGGAAGGTTAAAGGACATTAGGTTGCAGTGGGGCTTGAGGGAAGGGTAACATCTCTACTACTATTGTGAATGCCAAATATTTAATGAGCCAGATTGTGCTGCTGGGTGTCCTAAAAGCCATAGAAATTATTCATCCATTTGTTCTTTTGACAGATAATTATCGAATTTATGATATGCCAGTCCTAGTTTTGCAGAGGTTTAACATAGAGTTGCAGAAATGGGACTTACACCAGAAATGATAAATGACAATGGCTGGTCATATGTGGTAGGTACAAGGGTAAACGGGCAGATGGTGGGAGCTACAGAGCTCATGGGGGAGGTCGCTGGGGCAGGTGTACGTCTAAGAGCTTCATGGAAGCACTGGGAGCCCGGCGTAGGACTTCAACAGATAGGAACGGGTTAGGGAAGCGTCAGAGTCCAGGTGGGGAATAGCATGAGCAAAGGTGAGAAAGTAGAAATGCATAGACCTCTTCAGCTAGAACAAAAGGAGCTTGAAAAGTAGAAATAAACGTGATAATAGATAAAGCTGGAGAGATAGGATGAAGATGGTCAACTCTCCATAGGAGCTGCATGGTCAGATTCCTCAGGTTTCTTTTTTGCTAGAAAAGTCTGGAAAGATGCTGTTGGAGAGGGTTTTGGAGGCTGCTTATTGTGTCTCACTCTTCAGGAGGACTCCGAGTCTTACGTAAATGCAAATGTATTCTTCTGGGCAAATGAATCTTTTAGGGTCGAGCGGAGAGTCTGGGGAACCCCATGACCCCACAGGGAGTTAATAATGAAGACCTCTTGCCAGAGCAGGGTATCTGACTTCTCTCTACCATTTATGAATCCTGCCTCATGTTGAATATTGATTCTAAAATTTGAACCAAGCATTTTAAAACAAGTACAGGATACTGAGTTAATTTACCAACCGAATGCAGTATGTTTACTAGGACCTTACTTAATTTGGAATTTGAGATGGTTCCAAGGGCAGAAGGAAACCATTTCTCTTTTCATGAGAAATAGGTTGTTTAAGCAACTAATGATGTAATTATAAAATTTAAGGTCCATAAAAGAAAAAAGCACCTTTTAACATTGAGAAACACCCATTTATTTGCACTGTATATTTATATATGCTTCTTTTGTTTCAGCTCATGAGTTACAGATGCCACAGGATATAAGCAAATAAAAGATACAGTAAACTGCAATGTAGGGAGGGGAAATGGGTTAAAGGGAACATGAGGGGAAGATGACTCGAGGTGTGAGGACAGCACAGAAAAAAATGATGTGAGGGGCTTATTTCCTTGCTCCAAGTGGATTTAGTTCCAAGTTTTCTAGTAGCAAATGAAAAGAACAGACAATATTTATGAGCTTCTCAATCTGTGGAATAAAAACAAGCCAGTTTCTCAGAAGAGATAATATTTACCCATTCCAGAGAGAAATCTGGATGTCCTCATAGAGAAGCATTGTGAAAGGAAATGAACAAACATTCTTAAGAAAATCTTTATAGATGTACAGACGACAAACATTAAAATTTAATTATCGAAACAGGTTCCCTCACAACCATGTATTTTAGGTAACTCTACATACCTGAAATCATAAAAAGCAGCATTTCATTTGACTATTCTAAAATTCAGATTTTTCCAACTACTTTTCCTTCACTCTGTATACAATTTCATGGCATTTTCATACTTTGATTGCCGTATTTTCAGCTTCTTCCTTATTCCTCAGTTGGACATAATTTATCCTTCAGCTTTGCCTTATTTTCCCCACCGCTGGCTTACCCAGCCACCTTCCCCGACCCCAAACACAGGCGTGGACTCAGTATCTCATTAGTCCTTGAGCCTATCCTGACCGAAGCTGGAAGCAGATATTCCAGACTCCCCCCTCTCCTGTGCATCCTGTTAGAGTCAGTGGCCCTCGCACACCTGGCTCTGAGCACCTGGGGTCCTGCTTTCCCTTCATTGTCAGTCATTCCAGAGAGAAATCTGGATGTCCTCATAGAGAAGCATTGTGAAAGGAAATGAACAAACATTCTTAAGAAAATCTTTATAGATGTACAGACGACAAACATTAAAATTTAATTATCGAAACAGGTTCCCTCACAACCATGTATTTTAGGTAACTCTACATACCTGAAATCATAAAAAGCAGCATTTCATTTGACTATTCTAAAATTCAGATTTTTCCAACTACTTTTCCTTCACTCTGTATACAATTTCATGGCATTTTCGTACTTTGATTGCCCTATTTTCAGCTTCTTCCTTATTCCTCAGTTGGACATAATTTATCCTTCAGCTTTGCCTTATTTTCCCCACCGCTGGCTTACCCAGCCACCTTCCCCGACCCCGAACACAGGCGCGGACTCAGTATCTCATTAGTCCTTGAGCCTATCCTGACCGAAGCTGGAAGCAGATATTCCAGACTCCCACCTCTCCTGTGCATCCTGTTAGAGTCAGTGGCCCTCGCACACCTGGCTCTGAGCACCTGGGGTCCTGCTTTCCCTTCATTGTCAGTTTGACTTGGGATCAGGGACCCCAAGGATATATCCTGGGAACCCACATCTCCCTGCTGGCTTCNTGACTTGGGATCAGGGACCCCAAGGATATATCCTGGGAACCCACATCTCCCTGCTGGCTTCTCCATCCTCCCCTTTCCTATGGTTGATCTAGTCTTTTCGGTCTCTTATGCATGTAGCAATGTCCTAGGACTGGGGCTCGCTAGGATCCTGAGGCACAATGACTCACATCCCAGATTGCCCTACCTGAATCATAAAGACTGTCCACCCCCAAACCTCAATTTGTGGCCACTGGGTTCTTCCTGCCAGATGGGCCACTTCAGCCAGTGGCTGCCATGATCAAGGGAGGAAGCCATCCCCTTAGCCATGTCCTCAGGCACAAGTCTCCAAACTGGCCACAAATGAAGAATCCGAACTAACCCAGAGGGAGAATCTTATTAAATGGTGGCAATAGAACAACACAAAGCTATTTTTTGCTATTTTGTATAACTTCCTCAGGCATTTGACATCTCCTAGTAAATCTTTTTATCATCCACAACTGAAGATTTCAAAACAATCTAAGAATAAAAACTAAGCTATTGGACCTAGCGTGTACCCATCCCCCAAAACACATACATGAAATTTTCACCCATGTAAGTTCCTGAGCTTGAACCAATGTTTTTGAACCAACTCTGATACTTAACTAGGGATTGGTAAAGAAAACACCCGTGAATCTTTGACCACAAAGACACACTAACAGGGTTTGTCATAATAAACACATGCTGTATTATTCTCTCAAAGTGTCTGCAATTAGCTGATAAATCTAAGGAGTATATGAAGGGCCAAAAAATGTCAGCCAAGCACTGTGATTCAATCCAGTAAAAACACAGCTTTCCCAATCTTAACTTAAAACATCTGGAAGGGATGCATTACAGCCAATAGAGTAAAATTTATCAGTGAGGGGGATGGGTAGGATTTGTCTGGGACAGTGGCTCCTGTTAGTTTGAAATGTCTGGTTTCAAAAGGTAGGAAGTCACAATGGTACTGGGTAGGATTGGTTGGTTAGTTATGAGCAGCCCAGACTGTATGGTAATCAGTCTGTCTGACTGGAGCAGACTGCAGATCCGCTTAGGGACTGGAGATTGTATCGGGTTGGAAGGTGGAGGGGGTGTAGACACAGCATTGGGGGTGGTCACTGGAGGGAAATCACTAGGTGGAGTGGAAGGGACTCACACAGGGTTGGGGTGATGTCAGAGGTGAGGGGCCTTAAGGTGAGGGTATAATTGGTGTGTAGAGGAGAACAGGCTAAGACCATTGCATGCCTCAAGAATAATCCCATGTGAAGAGTTGGGTTTTGGACCTGGTTCTGTATACACCTGACCTATGCTCTTTGACAATCCTTTAACTTTTCTGAACCTTAATGTTGGGAAGCAGTTTAAAACATGGAGTCTGAAATCAAATTGCTTGGGTCAACTTGCTCATTAGTTGTGTGACCTTGGGCAAATTCCTTAACCTCTCTGAGTCTCTTTTTCCTTATCTGTAAAAGTGGGATAACAATAGTACCTCCCTAAAGCATAAGGCTGTTGTATTGGGAAGACTAAATGAGATCATGCAGGCAGAACCCACAGCACAGTGCCTGCAAACTAACAGTAACTATTATTATTAAGACCTTGGGTTCTGGAGACAGATAAGACAGATTTTGCTCTAAATGGGTTTATATTCAAATCCAAGCCCCATCACTTATTGGCCACATGGACTTGGACAAGTTATTAAACCTCTGAATCTCAGTTTCCTCTTTTATAAAA